AAAAAAAATAAAAAAAATAAACCTAAAAGAAAATTAAGTCAAATAAAAATTTAGTTTTGATGTTTGTTTTACTGTAACCCACTCAGTAAATTCGGCAATCCACAACACCTAGTATTAATTTAAAAAAATTTTTTTAATAAAAAATAACTATCAGAGCCTAATGAGCACCAGGTGATGCATGGGACTGTGGAACCACTATATTGTACTAATATAACACTGTATGTTAACTGGAATTTAAATAACTTAAACCCCTCCCCCCCAAAAGCCCCCATATCATCTAGTATTTGCCAAATACACACACACACATAACTCTTTCAAAAGGACTTAAACACTCAACTATTCAAAACAAATACACTTAAAAAACCATACCTTCATACAATCTGTTTTAGTTGCACCATTAATCAGGATTTTTTTAATTGCATAATACTGACCATCTAATTTATTCCTGACCTAAAAAGTAGAGGGAAAGAGAAAGTACGTTGTGCCATTAAATTCCAACAGAGAAAGTTATTGTAACCTGAGCTCAGGATCCAAACTAGCTAAAGAGATAAAATTAAGCGAAAGACAAGCCTCCTCTTTAATAGTAAAGAGTTCAGGGAAGTCGGCCATAGCCAGCCAGACTAGAAGCTTCCAAACTGCAGTGAGACTCCAACTCCTAGAGACTCTAGGTCTGAAAAATGGGAATGTTAGCAAAAAAAAACTATGTAAGGCCCAAAATACAATACCACGACTTTCTTCAATGATACGTTTTCAAAAAAATTAATATAGTTTCCAGAATCTGCCTAAACCACCAGTATGGTTAGGAAAAGGTTAAAACCTGCTGACTTCCCCGTAAATGACAGATCTCAACGAAGAGTAAGCCTACATGATTTCTAGGAATTTCCTTTGAGCGCTTTAAATAATAATCACGAGAACAACTTCTCAAAATGCACTTATTCAGAGTAGGAGGTCAAAACAAGGATGTGGGAAGCAACCTTGTACACTCTTCCGTATCCACCTTTTCCTAAGACAGCAAGCTCTTCAAATTCATTTAGGTAACGTGAAGTCTGTGCTTCGAAGGCTACTTCCCTTGATCTAAAAGCAAAATACAAACAACCAATCAATATCAAAACAGGAGAGATTCAAGCATCTAGGATATTTCACGTTCATTGCATTATTAACCTACCAAACCTTACTTATCACTACATTATGATGGTTTGAAAAGATGAGCCAAAATGACACTTTTCACTCTCTAGGAAGAAAATATTTGCTAAGCAAATCAACATGTAATACAGACGGCGAGTGGGGAAAAAATAAAGACAGGAAAGGGATCATTAATCAAGTAATCAAGTATGTTACCAGTAATTAGCATTCCAATTAGAAATTATCAATGTTTTAAAGCAGGAATCCTAAGGATAACTAACAAGCAGCAGTTGATTAGCTGAGCTCAGTAACAAACCTATTTAAATTTCTTAATGAGACCAATTACGGATTTTAAACTAGCATTTCCTACATACAACCAAAATTCAATGTTGTTCTGCTGACAGAGACCGGGTGTCAGTGCCCTCAATAAAGGGTGGGGCTTATGGAATCCACACAGAAAAAGGAGTGGAGGGGAGACAAAAGAGGGAGTGGGAATGAGAAGTGATACAAATCTTGGAGCAGCAACTATTTTCCCAGAACAAAGATTTTAATTTTCATAAATTACCCGAACTACATTATTTTTAATCCGCAAACTGATTTCTGATTAATTCAGGATAAGTTCTTAATTTCTTTTGGAGAGCTTACTCTTTGCACAATCACAGAAGTATTTAACACATACCTGATCTTCTGGATATGAGAATTATCCTCACGAGGATCCTAAAATTAGAAAACTGCTTTTAAAAGCATTTTGAAAAGTTCATGGAATGAGGAATCTCACAAAATTCATGTGAGAGTCATGTCACATTAACAGTCTCAAATGCTCAAACGACATTCCAAGAAAGAAAAACACTCTGGCGTTTTCAATGTCACCTAGGGGTTTACGGTTGAAAACACTTCTCTCTTCACCAAAAGATCACTACTTGAAAAGCTATAGTCTTGCCATCCACTGCCAAAGATGAGAACTGACCAAGGAGTTCTATCAGCAAATAACTCTAGCTTTGCCTTCAAAATACATGCAGAAACAGACCACCTCTCACATCTCCACTGCTACCACCCATTCCAAGCCACCATCACTTCCTGTCCCTGTATGACCACCTGTCTCCCTGCTTCTACCCTTGGCTCCCTCCATTTATTCTCAACACGGCAGCTGGGGGGGCAGGGGGGCGTCCATTAAAACGAAAGTCAGATCATGTCACTCCTTGGCTCAAAATCCTGTAATGCTTCCCATTTTACTCGGAGTAAAAAAAAAACCAAAGATGTTAAAACGGTCTCAAGATCCTACCCCATCTGTCCATCTCGCTGCCATCCTTCCCTACCTCTTCCATACTCTCCCCTTGCCTATACTCCAGCCACATGGCTGCCGGTGAGCCAAGCACACTGCCACCTCGGGAATCACTGTTTCTCTGCCTGGACACTCTTCCCCCAGACAGGTGCACGGCTCATACTCAACTTGGGCTCCTCACCTAAATAACTGGCCACTCTGTATATAACTCACATTTTCTAAGCCCTTTCACTGCTTTGTTTCTCCTTAACACTTACCACCATGTAGCACCCTATTTATTTTTATACATTTTTATGTTGCTGTTGCTGACTGCCCTCATCAGAACATAATCTCAAAAGAAAAAAAAGAACATAAGCTCCATGAGGGCAGGTGTTTTTGTCTATTTGGTTTGCTGCCTGAATCCCAGCCTAACACATAGTAGTCACTCAATAAATATTTGTTGGATAAATTAAGGTTAACGTTTTCATAAACCCGTATTATAATCAGGACTTCATAATGCTTTACAACACAGTTCTCTTGAAATTAAAATGTTTTTGTCATATATGAAGTGTATTTCAGCGCTTACCTGACGAACTCTCTCTTTGGCGGACCTCATCAAATGGGTAATAGCTCTGTTGTGATGTAGTCTCAGTGAGCTAAACTCATCACTACAGGTAAAAGAAGACAGCAGTCCCATTTTGATAAAGGTCTGACAAAGCACTACAAAGAACATGGAAAACTATTATTAGAAAGGCCATCAATAAGATGACAATTTTAAGGAGACTAAAGAGTATTAATAGCCTCTATTAAAAAAAAACCACAAAACCTCTGTAAGAAAAAAGTTATCTTCATACACATTACAATTTGGATATTGAGCCTCTAACAGAGAAGGAACAACCATCACTCATCGATCAGGAACACATCTACATTTGCTTATTAGATACTGAGCACTTGCTTGTTTACCATGCCTGGATGGTTGGTAAAGTACTAAGCTGTTTTTAAAAAGGCAAGAAAAAAATGTAAATTTACTAGTCTTCTGACATTCAAACACATCACATCTCCTTTTGCTGACAGGCAATGAGGTCCGAACAGAGGCAAAGTGAAAACGTTATTAGAACAAAAGTTGTTCTCAATTATGGACCCTCTCTAACCCACAAAGAGTACATGTGCATCAAGACCAAATACCAGGGGGAAAGTCAAGTCTGAAGTCACAATACCAGGCTCCTCAGAAAAAGAAGTTTCTACAGAAGTGCTTGGCTTTTATTTTTTCATAAACACACACACACACACACACCCCATAGAGAATATTCTTTCTATATGGGTAATTTCATTAGATTATTAACTAACTGAATAACATCAAAAACATTTTAAATATATTTTATTTAAAAGTTCAGTCACCTGGGGAAGTGAGGGTGCCTGGGTGGCTCAGT